CCCCCCCCCGCCCTGATTCCTGGGGTTTACTTAAATCTGAGATCAAAGACACCTCAGTCTCTCTTTTTCCTCTTGCCAGTTTCAACCTCAAGGACCCACCTTGAACCCACAGGGTGGAGGCTGGTTTGTATCATTGTATCCTCCTCTGCGGGGAAACCCCCCTGCAGTTCAGACACTCCTGGACAAGGGTGGGAATGGGGAACTGGGACCAGAACCCCTCTCTCTTTCCTGAATTTTCAGATTCTAACATCTTGCCTTTAGCAGCCAGAGGAGAGCAGGGCAGGTGGGGCAAATAGCAGAGCCTGTCAGATGGGGAGGACATGGGGACCCAATGCTCTGATAAGGCCTGTGCTGGAGAGCCTTTGTGGGGGTTGGGGGAGGGGGGAAGGATAGAACTGGATGGGGTGCTAGATGGAGGGAGGGCACCAGGTGCACTCAGCAGGAAAAAGGCCTAACAGGAGGATTCAAGGATGGGCCCAAAAGGTGAGCGTTTAGGAGCAAAATAGCACGTCTCCTAAAGTCAGCCCATTTTGCCACCCCAGGAGGTCCCAGAGCCCCTGGGGGGCCAGTGGGCTGAGTGGGGACCTTACCCTCCTTTGGCACCTGGAACACCGGCCTGGGCAGGGCCTGGACTGAACACAGAGTTGGATGGAGGTGAGGTAACTCATCTTGGGCTTGAGATGGGACCTTTTAAACATGCTTGGGGGTGAGGGTGTTTTCCTCCAGAACCTAACCTCCATACACTGGGATCTCCCACCCTAAAGCCTCACCTCAGGGACCCCCTAACCAATCTTGTGGGTCAGAAAATTCCCTGCTTGTCAACTAAGTGGTCAGCAAATTGCATAAGTATTGCCTCTCTCAGGAATAAATAGAGCCCCCACATTCCAAAAAAGGCATGGGTGTCGGGGTTAGGGTTCAGGACTCTGTTAAGACTTGGTTTTGGCCCTGGCCGGTATGGCTCAGTGGATAGAGCGTCGGCCTGCGGACTGAAGGGTCCTGGGTTCGATTCCCAGTCAGGGCACATGCCCTGGTTGAGGGCTCGATCCCCAGTAGGGGGCATGCAGAAGGCAGCCGATTGGTGATTCTCTCTTATCATTGATGTTTCTCTCTCTCTCAGTCTCCCCTCCTCTCTGAAATCAGTAAAAATATTTAAAAAAAAAAAAGGCTTAGTTTTGCGCCTCACCAGCAGTGTAGCCTTGGGTGAGCCACTTGATTTCTCCTTCTCTCTCATCATTGATGTTTCTATCTCTCTCTCTCAGTCTCCCCTCCTCTCTGAAATCATTAAAAATATTTTTTAAAAAAGACTTGGTTTTGCGCCTCACCAGCAGTGTAGCCTCGGGCGAGTCACTTGATTTCTCCCAACCTGAGTCTCACCACCTGTAAACCAGCAGCATGTCCCGGGCTGTGAGGAGACTGACTCCAGTTGGAGCCACAACTCAGCCTCTGTGTGACTTCGGAGAGATCCACCTCTTTCAATCTTTGGTTTCCTCGCCCAGAAACGGGCACTGGGTATTTAGAGAGTTAAAGCAGAGCCTGGCACCTCGTTGGCACTCTGGGACTGTTCACTCCCCCTTCTTGCTGAGTTTTGTCCCGAGTTTTTAGTCATTGTCCACATCTATTGCCCTGACTGCTGACAGGTGCAGGGGGAAGAGCAGGAGCAGCAGTGAAAAACCAAAACAAAGTGAGTCACGTCTCATTCAGTCATTCAGAGGGATGAACATTGGACCGTGGGGCTGGCTCAGAACCAGAATCAAATCATTTTAATGTCCTGAGACTAAATGGGATTAAGAGGGTTTATAATCTGTGAAGAGCTGCCAGGACTGAGGTAAGAATTAATCTCCAGGAAGGGAGCCCACCTGGTGGCGTTTCAGTGTTTGCTCTGCTTCTCTGCCTGGTTGAGATGCAGGAGGAAAGTCGAGTGGGTGAGAAATGGGGGAACAGCCTCGGTCCCTCTTTCAGCAGTTCGGCACCTCCTCACGTCTGGACCCAGAAGGAAAAGGACAGCTCAGCTTTTAGGATCAAGGGAGAACTTTAATGAATTTCAAGGTTGGATTTAGAGCCCTCAGGTTTTGCAGCTTCACTCTAGTGGTTGAATGTCCCCATTCATGCCCTTGAACTCTGATTATGACTTACCCTCTTGCCACCTCCTCCAACTGCCACTACCACTGCCACCCGCTGCCACTTCTGCTACCGTCGAGTCATGACTCACAAAGAAGGTAGCATGAGACATAAAAATAAGCATATTTAAAATAGGTACTAAAGTCTAGCAATTAAGACCGTCGACTCTAGCGCTAGACTGTCTGAGTTCAAATCCAGGCTCTGCCTTTACTACTTATGTGATCTTGGGCAAATTACTTAACCCCAGTGTGCCTCAGTTCCCACATCTATAAAGTGGGGTGACAATAACAGTTCCTGCCTCTTCCATGTAGTGTGAGGGTTAAAGGAATTAAAATGCAGAACGCCCTTAGAACAATACCTGACACCAAGTAAACCCTATATAAGCGTTAACTATTTGTATCCTTGGAAGTCCTTCAAGATGTTCCATTGGAGATTGCCATGCCTTTTCTCAGTAAGTTTAACACAGACACGTGTTTCAGTTGTTGGGAAGGATGGCTGTTTCCTCAGATGAGGCCCTTGGCTTGGGGTGAGATGCCGTGTTGTGTGACAGGGATGTTTCTTTATCGTTAATGATGTTCTCTGTTCAGTGAGATGATCACCCAGGGAAGCTGAGATGGTCCAAGGTGCTGGGGTGTCCCACCTCCCACTTCACACCCCGGCAGAGTCTCTAGCACTATTTTAATTGGCCCTTTTCCTCTGCTGCTTAGATGTAGGTGGAAGTGAATGTAAGCCTGATGCCATCGCATGGTCCTGCTGCTATTGCTGCTATCACCTTCGCCACACATCAAACTATTTACTAACCACTTTACAGGTATCATCGTGTTTAACCCTTAACAACTCTGTGGGGTGAATATTGTTAGCCCCATTTGAAAGGAGGAGTGACTTGGCGAGGTCACATAGCGGGGAAGGAGAGGAACTGGAATGCACATGGTGTTCGGCCCTCGGGCTAGTGTTGTTCACCGTGCGGTTACACACATCGGCTGCCTTCACTAGGTTGTTTCTTTAGCAGAGGAACAGTGTCTCCCACGTCTTTCCATCACACAAAACCCTTGCATCATGAGCCTGGCACTTGGCACATGTGATTTTAAGATAGTGAAAACATTGGCACATCTGAGCTCCCTTCCAGGGTGTGTCTTCCAGAATGTTCTAATTATAATTTCTATAATATGTTCAAGCCCTTGCATCAGGAGGCCCGACTCTGGGTTTTTTCTTTCCTGGTGACTCGAGGGCAAGGATTGGCGCAGGAGACTCAGGGGAAGAGGTTGGTGGAAGGGAGCGTCATTCTACCAACACGGATGGCTGGTTGGCCTCTCTTACTCCCAGTAATTTGAGAAGAGCTTTTAGCTCGGTGCATTTGGTGTTTCGGGTGACGAGCACGTGGATGGGGTAAATGCCCCATTCTTTAGATGAGATTTGCTTCCTACTTGGTTTTACCTCAGAGACAGAGAAGAAGGCAATATCTGTAGAAAGATATACACGTGTGGGTTTCCAGGTAGCAGCCCCAGAGACACTGACAAGGAGAGCTTGACCAGACCTCATCTCGGATGGTCTTAGAAAAGCAGGAGGAGCAAAGGAAGACGTATGCACACACCCACCACTCCATATAACAGATAACACAAGGACGCCCGGATTACCCACCAGCTTAAGATACAAACAATTACCAAAGACCTAAATGCAAGTGCTGAAACGATAAAACTCATAAGAAAACATGGGAGGAAATCTTCCTGACATTGGATTTGGCAATGATTGTTTGGATACAACACCAAAAGCTCATGCAGCAAAAGAAATAGATAAATTGAACTACATTAAAATAAAACGTTGCCATGGCTGGTGTTGTTAAGTGGTTAGAGCATCAGCCCACAGAAAGAGCCTCGGGTGAGGATTAACTAACACACACACACACACACACACACACACACACACACACACAACAATAAAACTGTGCATCAAAAGACACAATCAAGAGAGTGAAAAGGCAACCTATGACACAGGAGACAATATTTACAAATTATATATCTGATAAGGGGTTAATATGCACGATATATAAAGAACTCCTATCAGTTAACAACAACAAAATAAACAAACCAATTTAAAAAATGGGCAAAGGACTTGAATAGACAATTCTTTAAAGAAGATACACAAAGGGAAATGCAAGTGTAAATCAAAACCACAAGGAGATATCCCCTCACACTATTAGGATGGCTAATGTTAAAAAAACACAAGTGTTGATAAGGATAGGGAGAAATTGGGACTTTTGTGCTCTGTTGGTAAGAATGTAAAATGGTGTAGCTGCTGTGGAAAACAATATGGCAGTTCCTCAAAATATTAAACATATAAAAACCATATGATTCTATAATAGAAAATAATAAGTGTTGGGGAGGATGTGAAGAATTGGAACCCGTGTGCACTGCCAGTGGGAATGTAAAATGGAAACAGTATGGAGTTTCCTCAAAACAATTAAAAACAGAATTGCCATATTATCAGCAATTCCTATTTTCAAAAATAATTGAAAGCATGGTTTCAAAAAGTTATTGTACACCCATGTTCATAGCAGCATTCTTCACAATAGTCAAAAGGTAGAAGCAACCCAAGTGTCTATCAATGGAGAGATGAACAAAGCAGAGTACATACATGCAATAAAATATCATTCAGCTTTAAAAAGGAAGGAAATTCTGACACATGCTACAACATGGATGAACTTTGATGTCATTATGCCATTAGAGACCAGGAACGTGGTGGAGGACGAGGGGGTGGGGAGAGTGAGGCAGTGAGGGAGCTGGATGAGAGAGCTGGAGAGATTTTTGTGTTGAGACCGTGAAATTTCCGGGAGAGGAAATGGCTTCTGGTAAAACTTTCTGGAGATTTCTTTATGATATTTTTTATTAAATCCCTAGATTGAGCCCTTTAAGAAAAGCTTAGCTGCCACTGGAGTCAGATTTGTGCCTCTTTTGACTGTAGCTACGTGCAAATCCAGCTAAATTGCTGAGGTGAGGTTGTAGGAATAGTCCGTATTAGTTGGATTAGACCTGGCTCTGAGTAGCTTACCAATAATTGCCAATTGAGGGATCACACCATGCCAGCTCTTGGCAACACTGAAAGCTGACCTGCTCATCTCCTTTCTTTGCTGGCTTGATGGGATTCTCCCCAATCTTCGATCCCTGAGGAGCTGGGATGAGGGCACGTGTCTCCCTTCCTCTGCATTCTGGGCCGAGAGGTCTGAAGCAGGGTCTAGAGATAGACTGAGGCAGGAGAGGCCCCCAGGGAGCCCCCACTCTGAGTGGGAAGACTGAGCCCTGCCCTGAATCAGTGCCAGCGGTGGAAGTACACAACCTCCTCCCAAGGACCACCCAGGGAGAAAGGAGAGCTCTCACCCTCAAAGGTCGTACAGTCTGAGGGAGGAGGACATGGCCTCTGCTGAGAAGGCAGGAGACAATCTGGGTAGCAGATTGGGAGTGAAGTTCGGGGTGGCAGGGCTCTGAGATGGGGGTGGTGTAGAGGGACATCAGGAGTAGAGCTGTGGGGGGAAGGGGGCAGAATTTGGGGCGGGGAAAGGCTTGAGCAAGGCCTGGGTGGAGGGAGGAAGGGCCTGAGGCCGGGCTCCACAGCGGCAGGTTGTGCCACTGCATATCTAGGCAGTAAGATCATCGGACTCACCTGCATTGGTTGGTGCCAACATCCAAGTGCTAACCGTTCGCAGGAACCCTTCCCCAGCGGGGCAGTGCCTATGGTATGGCAGGTGTAGCCAAGATCCTGGGCTGAGAGCAGGGATGTGGAGGGTGAGGTTCCTGGTTCCCAGGGTGAGGAGGGGCTTTAAGACATGCCTAAGGCTGGTAGTGGTTTCTCTGGAGTCCTCCCGACAGGGGAGCTGAGGAGGAGACAGAGTATCACCTAGGTCCTAGGACCTCTCCCATCCCTCCCTCCATCCAACTCCTCTTCAAATCTCACCTGTCTTTCCCAGGGCCTTGCTCTCAGCTGGATGCTAATTAGTCACTCCCAAGTGTCAGCAGGTAATAAAGGAGTATTTACATTGTAATGACTTCTTAAAATTGAATACAGTTCCTCATGTTGTGGTGACCCCCAATTTCATTGTTACAAATTGAACATAATTAAAGCATAGTGATTAATCACAAAAACAATATGTAATTATATATGTGTTTTCCGATGGTCTTAGGCGACCCCTGTGAAAGGGTCGTTCGACCCCCAAAGGGGTCGCGACCCACAGGTTGAGAACCGCTGCTCTAGGGCATCTGAAAGGAACATGGCCCTGCTGACACCTTGATTTTAGCTCATTGGGACTTATGACCTCCTGAAATGTTATGTATTTGCATTGTTTTAAGCCATCAAGTTTGTGCCAATTTGTTACAGAATAGGAAAGAAATACAGGGAGTTACGCTGTCTCTGGTCCTGAACTCTCATTCTCTATCTAGTGTTACATTCCTGCCCTCCGTCCAGCCTTCCTTCACTCTCCTGACTCCCTCTTTCTACCCCGCTCAGCAGGGGCCCATTCTTCTTGCCCCAAGCAGTGAGACTTGAAGTTCTTTTCTGCTTAAGGCATATCCCCTTTCATAAAACCACTGTCCCAGCAACTCCTCTTGTGGTTGGCCTCCTGCTCAGCTCTGAGGTTAAAGACAGAAATGACACTCCCATACCAAGGCTGAGTAAGGTATTTTGTCCCTTCAGACTGATGGGACAGAAAACAAAACAAAAGAAAACAAAAAACAGAAACTTCCACGAAGCAAATAAAGACACAGGTCAGATGAATGCTATTATTGATGGCTAGGAATTAGAGGAGGCTCACGTGATAGGTGGGGCTTGATAGTGACATTACGGGAAGGAACATTTCTGTGATGACTGCCTGTGTCCCGGACCAGCAACCCAGGCATGGGTTGAGGCATGGCAGGGCCAGCTCTCCCTGTCCCCTCCTGTCAGAAAAGCAGAGTCCCAGAGGCCTGGCCCAGCATCACTCAGTGTCATTGGGCAGAACTGGTGGGACACATGTTCACTCTTGGTTGCAAGGGGCATAGGGAAAGCAAGGACAGGACTGTCAGAATGGCTTAGAGGAGACCAGACGCACATGGAGGTACTGGGAACCCTAAACACCAAGCAAAACTGGGCTCTGTTAGTTCAGAAGAGGGGTTGGGGTTGGGTACTGGGTTGGACATAGTTGGTGCCTCTCCCAAACCTCTCACTTTCACACTCTTGGCTCTAGACGTGTTTCTGTCCTCCTGATGTCATGTCTGTTCTGTGCTGTAGTTTTGCTCATGTGTCATGGTCTGGAATCTCTTTCCCTGGTTTGCTTGCTTGAACACTAGGTGTTGACATTCATTCAAATGCCTCATCTAAGGTATCTCGGTCCGCCTCTCCTCCTCAGAAAGTACCCCTCTCTTCTGGGGTTATACTGTGTGTCACTGTACATCTCCAGCATCCACAGTTTCTATTTTATTCTTTTTGTCTTCACTTCTAAAGTGTGAGCATTGAGAAGAGATACATACGTAATAAAATTTTCTTGCCATATGTTCACCCTAAAGCACAATGAGTGCTTAAATTTTGTACCTTGAACAAATGGTCCAGGTCTCAGCTCCAAACAGCCAAGGACAGCTGGGGTCCAGAGTCCATTGGGATGAATGAAAGAGAGGCTCAGGATAAACAGTGAATGCTTGCGAGATGGCTCCAAGTGATGGACCTGGGTGTGTAGCCCATGTTGCCAAAGGACTTTTGGCTCAGGGATTGGAAGATACCTACAGCCTTTCTGGTGGTGGTGAGTGATAAGGGAGATGCTGGGGTGGGACTTGGCTGTTAGTCACAAGAGTTGGGAACACTAATGTCTCTCACAGCAAACAGAGTTGTTTTGAAGTTGGTCCCTGGGGCCTGGGCTCATCCCCCTCTCATTCATTGAACACCCAGGATGTACAGAACCAGGGCCTGCCCTGGGCCCTTTCCACATACCTCACCAAGCAGGTGTCCGATCCCCAGGGGAACATGAGGTCAGAGGTCAAAATCCCTGGTCACCTGAGCTGGAAACCATCCAAAAGAAGACAAGAAAATGAAGAGCATGTGGTATCTGAAGCAGAATTATAGAAAATTACATCACATCCACACAAAGGAATACCATACAATTAAGCCAGTGACCAGAGAGATCTGGTGCTGGTGCAGATGTGGACATAACTGGGGACAGAAAGGAGCTGCCCGGAGGCCCAGTGCATTGGGAGGGCCTGACCTGGGAGCTCAGCGGTGGGCCTGGTCCCAGGGTGCCCGATGCCTGAGCAGTCCCCTCACTCATGGGAGGATGTTCTAAGGGGAGCAGAGAGCAGGAACAAGAAGTCCTCAGTGAGTCAGCAGGGCCGTTCCCCAGAGGTTCCCAGGCTTCATCCTGAACTCCAAGCTCCTGTCTCCTGCACCTGAACTAGAGTTTCCACAGCAGGTTGGGACACAACAGACCCCAGGGCATGGCCACTGACTCCTAAGCAGGCTGTTTTGCATAAGGGAAAGAGGAACATCACTGAAGAATTCATAGGGAGGCATCATCATGGGTGGGGAGGCAACTTTGCCTAATTTCCTCCTGGCTCATTTCATGGTGGTCACCATCCCTGAGTCTAGACAGTGGCTTCCTTGGTGGGCCCAGGCAGCCCCTGGAGCTGCAAAGTGAAGTTCAAGAGTGTGGGGCTAACGCCAGAACTCAGAGCTCTGACCTCGTGTCTTCCCTCACCTGCAGGTGATGTGCTGTTCTCCCTGTGTTCCCTGGTCTGTCACTGTGGGTCATGCCACCTCTTTCCCTCCTAGCGCTCCAGTGAGGACCCCACATGATGATGACCCTGCCTCCCTCTCTGGACTTCGAGTTCACCGGCCCTGCAGTGACCCTAGATGTTTAGCAGTGGGGTTAGGAGGAGGTTTTGAACAGGCTTTTCTGGGATCATATCTTGACCTTGCTGTCTATTAGACTCATGCACATAGGAACTTTGCTTAGCTCAATTCCACATCCTCGACATGAGGGTAACAGCACCATCTCATAAGGTTATGAAGGTTTAAGAGGCATATCGATACAGAAGGTAAGGTGTTGCCTGGCACAGGTAAGGACTTATTAACCACTGGAGAGAGTTTTGTTAGATGTCAGAACAAACTGTGGAAGGACTGAGTGATGAGTAAACACAGACCATGCTGCCTTTCAGAGTCCCATCCTTTTTATGTTCAGAAACCCAGTTTTCTCTACCAAATTTTCTGTCCTATTATGACACATCCCACTGTGTTCCCCACCCCAGCCCCAGGTTAAGTAAGGGACAGAAGAAAGCTCTAGGTGTTGTCCTTTGGGAGTTGCCTGGGATTTTACTGGGACATGCTGAACATACACTCCTAGGTGTGTCACACTCACCTGAGTGGGGCAATGGTCCAGGAAGGAGACAGAAAACATGACCCCAGGCTCCCAGATCCTGGGATGAGCCAGACAGAGCCTTATAAAGGGACCAGTCTTTGCTCAAATGCATAGCACACTCATCCTTCTCCTCAGTGATACCTTGTCAGCTCTGGTAAGTATGCACCTGACTCGTTGCCGGGGGTAAGAGGGGGTGCTCAGGGCCCAGTGTGTTCTGCTGTCTGTAGGAGTAGGGAAAGCAGTGATGAGAGAGGATTCAGGAGCCTGGGTCCAGATGTGATGGGGCTCTGCCTGTAATGGGGCCGTGTGACTTCATCCCACGGGGTCCTGAGGTCCTCATCTATAACGATGACTGCACCGATGCTCCCATTGCTCTGTTGGCTCCTCTGTGACAACTCTTTGGAAACGTCCCTGGTGGGAGCGGAGGACATGACTCTCCCTCTCCTCCTTGTCTTCTTTTCTCTCTGGACTCACCTGACTGTCAGGCCCCGGTTTGGTGAGGACCCACTGTGCATCCCAACCTTGGGAGAGTGGGTGTCTCTACCAAAGTCTTGAAGTTTCTCCTCAACCCAGGCCAGTGATGCCCACTCACCTTGCCCTGGTGAGAAGACCTGCCACTACATGGATCAGAGACCCATCAACTAAGGTTTTGGACCTCCTCCCCAGCTGAGGGAATGACCAGTGACCTTCTGTGCACAAGGCTCAGCTCTGGCCTTGGTCAAGTTGACAGAAGGCCTCAGGTGGTTCCACTTAGGGACATAGCAGCAAGGATCTTTCTCCCAGATCAGGAGACAATGGTAGTTTGTGTTAGATGCCCACATGTGTGATCCATGCACGTTTCTTGGGTGCTTTGGAAAGTCTGGGGTATGAGGGCTGCACTGTCCCATTTCTCTGCTTGGGGTCCAGACTGTTGGTGGAGGTACTGGCTTTGGGAAGTCAGACCTCTTTACTTAAATGTGGTGTAGCCTTGGGGTTCCAGAGAGCAGGGAGGTACAAGGTCATCTGAAGGAGCCTATCTCCCCACATTCCACCCAAGAGTCTAAAACTGAGGCAGGTATTTCTGTTTATTTCAAACATGATGCCAATTCTGTTCAGCAGTCCCTTTTTCCCCACTGGTGGGGATGGTCCAGGAAAACCTCCGTGGGAACTCAGGACAGGGCTGTGCTTCTCTGTTCACACTCACCATCCTACTCCACTCCCCGCTGGGAGCCTCCAGGGCCCATTTCATTTAGAACTTGCTTTATGTTCAGGATGGGCTCCTCTGGGATCTTGTTCCAAGAGCAGCCCAGGGTGGGTCAGACCAGACTAGTCAGGAAGTTATTTTGTCTCGGTGACTCCAACCTTGATGATGACCCTGGAGGAGATGGATTTGATGTTCTTTGAAGAGTGGAGTCATCCTTAGTTGGCTCAGGTCCCAACTAAAGACTTCAGTCCTTTTCCGTGTGGTTGACCCCTACCCTCTCTGCTTCTGCCTCCTGTGGTTCCGTCCACAGTGGGCTTCTGTGTTCTCCCCCATCTCTTCTGGGCTCTGACCTGCATGGCCTTGGTCACACTCTCCTCCTTGTGAGCGTCTCATCCCACCTCCTAGGCTGATACAGTTCCTTCTGCTCCCACCTGAGCCTCACTTCACTGGATGCTCAGTTCCCACCCCGTTGTCCTGACTTAGGGACCCTCACCTGGGGAGAAGGATACAAAGGTCCCCGTCTTTCTCTCTGGCAGCTTCCTTGAAAACCAAGATGAGTCAAACTCAAGTTGAGAAGTCCATGATGGACTTGGTCGTCCTGTTCCACAAATACACCAAACCCGATGACAAGATTGACAAGCGGGGCCTGCTGAAGATGCTGAGGGAGAATTTCCCTATATTCCTCAAAGCCTGTGTAAGTCTGGGTGACTTCTCCAGGTCCTGGCATGCCAGAGGACACTTTGCTGTGGGACCTTGGACAAGTCAACCCCATTCTCTGATCCTCAATATTTTCATCTGCAAAAAGGCCTAAGAGGACTTTCCTGACTTATTATCAGGATGAAAGAGATGATACATGTGGCCAAGTGTAAAGGCATCTGGGGATCAAGGGTAGTTATCAGGTGGTGAAATAGGAGAGTAAAGAATGAGTCCCCTCCCACTTGTCACTCTCCATCCAGGAGACCGAAGCCTCTAGAAGCCGCCATTAGGTTCTCTGAGATCCAAGGGAAGGTGATAGAAATCCCACGGCTGATAATATTTAACACCTTTCATTACAATGAAAGAGCTTATTCATAGACCTGATTTAGCCTGAGAATTAGAATGCACTGAACTGATTACAAAAAGAGAGGCTACTAGGTGACACAGAGAGTAGGTGAGCAAGAGGGCACTGAGCATGGAAGATTTGGGAAGGCAAATAGGAGATAGGAGAGGAGGGTTAGGAATGAAGAGACAAGGGGTAGGGCCTATTTTGGATTTCTGGATAAAACTTAGGTAGATGGGGTCCTGGAAGTGGGTGGGGGGAGTGGGTCTAGGTCTAAAGACCACCCACCCACCAGCTCATTGATCAGAGCCTCACCACTACTAGGTCTCTCATTCATGTTGACACTTGGGCCAAGGAATCTCCCTCCGTGACCTGCAGGGTAATGCT